AGATTTTTGTCTCGTAATTTTACATTAACAGTTTTCTTTTTGCTTCTATTTTTTTTTCGCTTTTTAAAATTTTGATGCATGTTGAGTCCGGACGACTCGCATAAAAGTAGAGAAAAAGCCACGCTGTAATAATTTTTTTTGTGAGCCTCTAAATTCCAAAACAGTGTCACTGAAGCATAAGCATGGAGTGTGGACTTACATATTATTTACTAATTTGACAAATTGATCGTTACACCACGATGATGGAGTTTCATTAGAAAGTGATTATCCAGAAGACTATACAGCTCTGAGATTTCAAGACACAATACCTGGACTCTGAAAATTTAAGACACACACCTCGACGGATAATCCACCACTCTACATCCCTGTCTTATGGCGGTTATTTTTGCGAACCGAAAAAGTAACTTCGCACATTTTTTGTCACTTCCTTCTTTTTTTCGGCATGGCTTTGTTTTTATTTATGTTTCGCAGCAATGTGTTTTTCATGTTCTATATTTCTTCCACATATCTTTTCATGCTGTTAGAACATTCCCAGCTTTTCTTGTGTACTGAAAAAGTGCTATTGCGCCATCCAAACACGTTGCTGTTCGCCTTTGGTAGTCAGTCTCGAGACAGCATTATAAGCTTATTTCGGCATATATATATATATATATATGCTTTATTATATGTACTACATATCATGTGTTTTTTCGTTTTATTTTATATGACCCATCTTCACTCTACTGTGCACTTCTTATTTTCGATTCGTTTCCTCGCACCCATTATCCACGAAAATCTTCCAACTTTTACGTGTGGCTTCTGCTGCTATTTCATAATTTTTATTTCATTTTGAATGTTGTAGAATGCTGGTCGAGCAATTCTCCCTGGAGTCCTGAGATAGCCGGGTTGGAGCGTTCCCAATTGATTTTTGTGATTTTTCCCAGACAAGTCCGGTACCAATTCTCCGACTCCGGAGGGACGAGAGGCTTGGTTAGTCTGGAGCAGAATCGAACTGGCACCATGCTCGTGGTGGCGGACATACTACCACTATGGTATCCGCCCCTGTTATATGTTACACACTACATAATTATGGGAAAGGGTAGGTAGCACGTTGGTAGTGATGCCGAGCATCCCGAGAACGGTGCTGGTTCGATCCCGCTCCAGACTAAGCAAGCCTGTCATCGTTATGGCGTCGGAAAATTGGTACCGGACTTCTCTGGAAAACGTACACTATCTGTAGCCCAAGTAGGAATGCTCTATCCCGGCTATCTGAGGACTCCATGAAAAATCATGTCGACCACCATTCAACGACATTCATGGTGCGAGTAAAATAGTCAAACATCAGGCGAAGGTCAACTTAAAAAGTTGGAAGACCCTTGTAGATGGTGAATACGAAACGAATCGATTGGGAGAAGAGCTGGGTTCCTTTCAGTAGATAAAAGGACGGATCCTACAAAAAAGTATACTTGTACTATATGTATGTATTACTTTATACATTATATTACTACATATTATATTGTACATATATATATGTATATATATATATATATATCATACCTTGGATTATGAAGCTAACACGAGGTTGATAAAATGGTTTATTCAGCTAACACTTCGGTATCTCCGTCTTCTTCAGAGCCGATGATCCGAGTCGGAGGTGGAAAATAAAGAGTAGGGCAAACGAGCGAAGTGTATCTTCGGAGTAAAAGAGCGCTGCCGGGTGAGGTAGATTCGTCGGAGCGGTCCTCCACTGAAAGATTCGACTCGATACCAGGACGAAGGGACTAAGTACATCGGGTGGCGAACGACTGTGGACAATGGATTCTGTTCATATGGTCTGAGGAAGACGAAGATGTCGAAACCTTAGTGGAGTAAACTTTTTTAAAATTAACCTCGTATTAGCTTAGTAACTCAAAAGGGTATTAATTGTTAATGCCGAGGTTAAATGACGGTCGGTTTGAAAAATGTGTCATATATATTATCCTATCGTAGATATCATATACGTATATATATAATACACACAACATATATATATATATACATATATGATATCTATTATACATATTGTGTACAATATATGCAATACATATATTTAATTATTATATATATTTTATGTAAGTTGAAATTATTATACATATATTGTATGTAACCACAGATCTCACATGAGGGATCCTGATGGTCACTTAGTCGGGAGGCTACGTGGCGCGTCCCCAGTTGGCGGATAGAGTGTTATTCGTATACCTAAAGCGACATTTGCTTCCTTGAGACGCAGGTAAATCCAGGGGATGGACTACCCGTTTCTGCTGCGCCGATTTGGCACATACTTTCTTCTGTATTTGCTAGGCATATTCATGCATACGTGTGTGGGTGCGTTCTTGCTTATGCGGATTGTATTCTACGAGTCAATTCGTCCAAAAGCCTGCAATCAAGTAACTGGGAAGTGTATCGGAGGCGGTTAGGAGTTCGCCTCCAACAAATAAGCTCCATGTCCACTCTGGGAGAGCCTGGCAAGCCATCTGTGAGTATACCCAACCCACATTCAGAGTCCAGCGAGCTATACGTGGATATCAAAAATGTAAAACACAGTAAAAAAAAAAAACGGGCCTCATTACCCCGACCACCAAAGGGCCCCCAATTTCGCAGCGTTGGGTAGGACGAGTACGGAGAGGCTGCTAAAATCTCAGGGGTAATGGAAGCTGCTTGCATTTCAAAGAACTAAGGTGATGATCTGTACCTACTATGCACGCACACTTGCATCCAAGTCCTCTATAGAAGGCTTGCCCATGCAAGCAAGAAGGATAAAATACGACGTCATCGGCCTGGCCGAGACGAGAAGACGCCACACATTCAACGCCGTCTATGACGCCAGAGAAGAACTCTTCCTCGGAACATGCGACAGTAGAGGAATCGGCGGCGTCGGCGTTCTCGTCAACACGATTTTGTCCATGAACATAGATTCATTCAAACAACTAACCATCCGAATCTGACGTTTACAATTAAAAAGATGTGGATCAATACCGGCTTTGACAATCTTCGCCGTTTACGCGCCGAAATTAAACTATGACAAAGAAGAAGTCGAAGCGTTCTATATGGACTTGGAGGAGTTCTACAGAGAAGACCACACATTCTTCAGGGTCATCATTGGAGATTTCAACGGCAAAACTGAACCAAGAATAATGTCCGAGGAACGTCACACTGGGACCCATGGATTAGAATGGAACAAACAGGGTGAGCGGCTCTTTGAGTTTATCATAACGACCAAGACCATCCATGGTAACTCGCAATTCCAAAAACCCCACTCTTAACGCTGGAAGCGGGAGTCTCTCAATGGAGAATACCATGACGAAACAGACCACTACATAGTAAGTAGATGGTTTTACCTAGACGATGTGGCTGTTGTCTCAAAAGTCTACACAGGATCAGACCATCGCCTCCGTTCAAGATTCAATTTCTCGCGGAAAGGAAAAAAGTCGCTAAATTCCAAAACCGAAGTCCCGGAACCACCGTAAACTGGGATTTATTCAATTCATTAGTCGGCTGTTGTGAAAATGCCGTTGTCGATGACATCGATGAAGAATAGGATCGGTTCATTCAACATCTTCACGTTAGCGGTATGAAATCTCAGAGTTCGAAATTCACCAAGAGACGTCTATCTCCAGAAACACCCGAGCTGATACGCCAGCGTGGAATCGCATGAGCGGCCGGCAACCGCGAACTAACGTCCGAACTTGCAAAACAGTGCAGACAGGCGATAGAAGAAGATCTTAGAGAGAGAAGAGCAGTAGTTATGATCGAAGCTGCAGAGGTCAGGAAAAGCATCTACAAAGCCCACCGAAGCTTCGCCAACTACAAAACCAAGATGATTGCACTTCGATGCCCAGACGGAACAGTTACAGCGTCCAGAAAGGCAATGGAGAAAATCACTCACGAATATTACTCGGATCTCTTCGATAGCCACGTCCACCTTCCGTCATATGAAATAAAGGAGGATGGGTATGTTGTACCACCGGTTCTCCCTTCCGAAATCCGACATGCCATTTCGTCGGTGAAAAATCGAACAGCACCAGGTCCGGACAGGATAAAACCAGAACACCTGAAGAACCTTCTGCCAGTCCTTGTAAACATACTGGCTGGGTTCTTCACACGTTGTGTCTGAATGCAAGGTCCCTACTCAGTGGAAGACCAGCAGGACCATGTAATTGTTCAAGAAGGGTGACGTACACGATGTCGGAAATTATCGCCCAATCTGCTTACTGTCTGTTTTCTACAAGCTTTTCAGTCGAGTCATCTTAAACAGGATTGACAGAACAATGGACGAACAGCCATGTTAGCAAGCAGAGTTTTGACTAGAATTCAGTGCGATGGACCACGTCCACACGATAACAAGACTCATTGAAGTATCGCGAGGATACAAAAGACCGCTCTATCTCACTTTCATCGATTTAAAGAAAGCCTTTGACTCAATAGAGATAGAAGCAGTCATGGAAGCCTTTGTCAGTCCTTGGAGTTCCTACTCGGTGAAAATCAATGGTGAGTCTCTATCACGGCTTTGCTGATGAGATCGTTCTTATAACACCAAGCATTATCCAGGCAGAACGAATGCCTGCCAACTTTGATAAAGCCTGTGGAAGGATTGGTCTTCTATTAAATCTCACAAAAACGATGTTCATGAGGAACGGATTGGTTTCGTATACCCCATTCACGCTCAAGGGAACGAGTGTCTCCGAATGCTCCAGTTATATCTATCTAGGTCAGGAAATCAATATGATGAACGACTTAGCTCCAGAGTTGAGCAGAAGGGAATGAGTGGCTCGGGGAGTTTTCAAGAGCATCGAAGATGTAGTGAGGAGAACAAAGAACACCTGACTCCGTGCCCACCTTTTCGACTCAACGGTACTTACTGCCCTAACGTTTGCGTCAGAAACTTGGTCGCTGCGTAAGCACGATGAAAGATCACTGAGGGTTATCGAACGCGCAGTGGAAAGGACGATGCTACGAGTAGTATAGTATACGAGTTCCACACAAGTAAGGGATGGGATCCGAAGCTCCGACCTGCGTCAGCGATCAAAAATCAAAGATGCCGTTCTGTACGCCAAACAGTCGAAGATAAGGTGGGCCGGACACGTAATGCGTATGAGTGGCAACCGATGGACAAGAGCCGTTAGTGGCTGGATTCCTCAGGATGTCAAACGCACTGCAGGAAGACCACCGACCCGATGGTCAGAGTTCTTCACCAAGAGCCTAGAAGAAAGATATGATCCACGACGAGTCCCTAGAGCGGAGAGAACCCAATGAGATATTCTTGCACGGGGAAAAATGAAAGATTTAATAGCACCCGCTCGAATCAGTCGACGATCAACGGGGCTACAGGTGATTGCTGTGCATATATATATATATATATATATATATATGTATATATATAAGCACGTTCGATTACGATGGTGTTGAAGACTTTTAATTTCCCCATATATGCTGTGTAAAAGCAAATTTGTGGGCGTGGACTCGGCATGCTTGCCTAGGAATCTTCACCTCATCACCAAAACCTGATAGAAGGCATTTTATTACTTTTGCTGGTAACGATGTTGTCTTGGGATGAAAACTTATGATGAAACACTGTCCTGCAAGTTTAAATTTTAAGGTGTAAAAAACATTTTTCCTTGGCCGACCTGTGGTGTGATACCTGTAGTGAAGAAACTTTGCAGATCGGTAGCAGAAAGTATAGCGGAAAGTAAATTCGCTTTGCAAGAAAATAAACAGCCAAGAAGAACACATGAATCTTGCTGGTAACAGTATCCTTAATATTTAATTAATAAATTCCCGGTAAATTCCCATTTCTTTTTAGCATTAGTGTTTATATTTAACTTTTACATTTTCAGGATCATTCTAACTTTATTCGTGAGTCTCCTGGAGAATGCGAATTTGATGATGCAGCTATGCAGGCGATGGCTAAGCGCCTGATCGAAATTGATTCAAACCTATCTCGTATTCGATTTGAACTTGTACCTAAACAGTGGGTTTCTTTACTGTCTTTGTTGTTCATCGTTATTTGACTTCTATACATATTTTCTCGTATATTTTTAACGAACTTGACTGTTCTTAGAGTATGCACTGTCGTTTTTTCTGTCTTTATTGAAGGAACCATCTAATACTATTAGTTGAGCACTAGGATGCCGCGATATATACGAATTTCCATTAAGAATACAGAAATTTGGCTTTAAAATTAAGTGAATTCAGACTCAGTGAGGAGAAATTTTGGCGAAACTACTTCTATCGTGTATCACTGATACGGCATTCAATCTTGTCAAATGCATCCGAAGGACAAAGTTTCACCCAAAGAGTCTCTGAGCCGGAAGCATCAGCACCATCAAAGGTACGCATCCATGGTTTACAACGGGAATCTAGCCATGTGCAATGCTATCTAACCATTTCTTATCACCATAATCTTCAGATACATAAGAAAAAACTAAAAACTCAGTGAACAATATGAGATTTAAACTTTGTCGATTTTTGCCAAGCTGATACGTTTTTTTGGAAAAAAGGAAGTGATTTGCTAGAATAAAGTGTACTTAGGCACATGAATAGTACTGTCTTCGCAAATCAGGCGGACTCCATCATATTTTCACTATTGTTTTTTTAAACTAGTTTTTCTGCAGTTCTTATATTATATTGGGAAATGTTCTGCTGCTTTGCGTCTATGTTTCCTCAACGATAGAACCGTCTCCATCCAAGCATAAGTTCAGCCTTGTCTGTGCTTCCGATTGAAATGTGTTACTTTTCGGTTTGGTTCATCCTGCTACTGAGGAAACTGTAGATATGCCATATGAAAAATTTACGCGAAACTTTCACTTCGTATTTTTTGTGAAAGTGTGTTTGTAAAAGTTCCGTGAACTTTATTTGTGAAAAATCTTTCATCGTGGTCGAGTCGTTATGGATCGCCATCATTATGGAACCGGTGATTCGATTCGAGAGTCCGCTGCACGCTGCAGTATTGTTTCATGGCCACTTCGAATCGATTTAGTAAAACATATTTAACCAATTAAATGACGTTGCAGTGTGATTTCTTTATATATAGAAAGGTTGTGGACCAATTTTCCATTCAGCATACGTTATCCATAGTGGAAATTTCGTCGTTTTGTTTCGGTGCTGCCATGCGGGTTTTCTTGATTCGCAGCGTTACACCATATCAAATCTGGGTAATCAAACCGTTTGTATCACCTGTGTTATCGATCGTCCCGTTTATTGTCGAATGAGTCGTGCCGCCGTCAGTAAATAATCTTCCTTTTCTTCCTGTTGAGTTCAAAAGTAGTTCAGTTGGTTCTGCTCGCTCTAGGGACTCGTTGAGCACAGACCTTCCTTCTAAGGTTTTCGTGAGCAACTCTGCATATGGAGTCGGTGGTTTTCTTGCAGAAGGTTTAACATCCCTAGGAATCCAGTCATTAATGGCTCTTGTCCATTGGTTGTCGTTCACACATATTTCGTATGCAACCCATCTAATCTTTAAGTTTAGCGTAGAGAACAGTGTCTTTGATTTTTGATCGTTGACAAAGATCGAGGCTTCGGATCCTCTTCCTCACCTACGTAATATGAGGTACTACTAGTATCGTCATTTCGACTGCGCGTTCAATAACGTTGATCGGCCTTCATCCTGTTTGCGCAGCGACCAGGTTTATAACGATTAATGCGTTAAACCAGGAAGAATCGTGGGGTCGAAAAGCCGGGCACGGAGTCCGGTGTTCCTTGTTCTCGTTACGGCACCCTCGATGCGCTCTAAATCTCTCCAAGACGCTCGCTTTCTTCTGCTGAACTGTTAGACAAAGTCGTTCATCATGTTGATTTTCCAACCCAGATAGACGTATTGGAGCATTTCCGTTCCGTTGAGCGTGAATGGAGCATGCGAAACCAAAACGTTCCTTATGAACATCGCTTTGTGAGATTTAGTCGATGACCAATCTCTCCACAAGCGTTGCCAAAGTCGGCAAGCATTCGTTCTGCCTGGATAATGTTTGGTGTTATAAGAACGATCTCATCAGCAAAGCGCAGATGGAGACTCACCATTGATTTTCACTCCCATGTTGGCTCATTCCAATGTTTGCTTAACGTTCTCAAGAGTGGCGGTAAATAATTTTGGCTAAATGATATCGCATTACCTAACCCCTTTTTGACGTCAATGCTAATATCGTTATAAAATGGTGGTATTTCGTTTAGACGCGTAGTATTAAGACAAATTACACAGTGAAGTTCAGAAATATATACACACTAAATTAGATAGTAAGATGGACGAAGGAGGCCTAAGGAGAGCAATATAAGGCCTTGTGCAACATACTTATGAGATATGAAATACATAGACGGATATTGTTTGTGGGTGGGGGGATAGCAGCACTTACTGGATACATCGGTAACCTACCGCGTGTCATTGTATATTCCAGATATGCATCCAATCACCTCTACGATGATTAATGAAGTTGATTGCATAATGTACCTTTCAAGGATTGATCGGTGCCGAACGCTTTATCTCGTATTCTTTAATATTTATGAGAATAAGTAGCTCAAAAGTGAAGAATGTGGACAGTTCCACCAGTATCTACACGAATGCCGTCACGCTAATCATTCTTAGATGGGGCGCGGAAGGTCGCAAAGTCGAGCTATCAGGCGATTCTAAATACTTTGTGCGACGTTTATGGATGGGTGGAGATGTGAAGTAAGCACACGGGTTTAATGTCATGTAGTTTTAAATAGGTTACATGAGAGGAGTAAATAATGCCGTTAATCAATATAAGAGACATGATAAAATGAAGTATGGATAACATTTCATGAGAAATCTTTTCTATATGATCTGCTTTCTTGATGGTAGTTATGTTCTGCAATGGCGAAAATTTTTATCAGTTGATAAATGGTGAAGAGAGGAAATAGTGAATATTTTCTCCTCAGGTTATATAAAGGTTAGTGAAATTAGATGAAGCTTAGCCGAAATATTGAAGGCTGCGGGTACTATTTTCCTTGCTGTCGTAGTGAATACAAAAGAAAGGGAGGATGGAGAATTTGAACGATCTGGGAAAGAAACAATTGAAGATAGTGCAATTGCAGGGGAATGCTGATCAATTAATGAAAGGCGAGCATGTTTCTGAACAAACCGCACATGGTCTGCCCAACCAGGAAATGAGTGCACACACAGGTGCTGTTTTTCATTCTACCTTCTGAGCTCGTCGAAAAGAAAAAAATTGAGTTTGCAAAAAATAAAGTGGCATGCAACTCATCTTTATTAGTCGTCTACTACACTCCCATGTTACACTGATATTTGAAAGAAATAAGGTGGCATCGAAAGCAAAACAACATTTAAATAGCGTGTCCTTCGCAAAGTTTATTCCTGGTGAAGTGGCCGTTACTACCGTGGGATATGGGACATTCTCCTTTTGTGTATAGCTTGTTCTTCCAGATAGCTTATTGTCATGAATTGTTGACTTTCCCAGAAGAAGAAAGAGTAGAATTCCTTCGCTTGAGTTCTTTCTGAAACTGTAAAATAAAAGCATGTGAAGCACTTCTGGTTTTCTTGTTTGTAAGTAATAACGTTACCTAGACGATGACTGGGAGCGCGAACTACTGTCCGATCTCAGCGAGTACGAATTAGTGACGGAAAAGAATGGTAAGAGCGAAGATCAATGGGAAACAGAAATCAAGGAGTTACTGAACACTGTCGAATAAATGTATATATTTTATTCTTTTATATTTTTCTGCTTTCTATCCATAGGTCAACCAACATTGTCTAACTAACACTATACGTTTACAGTGTTGGAATAATGGAAGGGCCGTTGTATCTGGGTCGTTTCGATTTTGTACCTCCTCAAATAAAACATTTTTTAACTCTTTTATTTACTGCCTTTTTTCTTAATGGCAGGGTGTTTCGAATTATAACTCGTATGAAATGCTGAGATATTTGTAAAACTCCGAACTACAGGTGTATGCAGTGGAGAACGAACACGCGCTGTTGTCCTTACCGGGGAGCAGCGCGTGTTCGTTCCCCAAAACATTTTTTTTTCGATTTTTCTCTTCCATGGTGGCAAACTGTAGAGTGATTGAGGATTGCCACATATTGTTTAACATTTACTCGACCATATAACCTTTACAGCAGTCGTAATATGCGGAAATCATGGCCGATTTCAAGCTTGCATTGACATATCTTAGTTGGTAGGAAATCTCTTAGTAACTCTGAAAACTATTAAAATCCACAATTTTTTTTATCTACGAGATAGAAGTCCTATTTTACGCCGATAAGATTCTGGTCTTCTAGAGTCCACGACGACAATCATTGCTCTCACTTTTCGTCAAGGTTCATGTTTCAAACACGAAAGCAAATGAACAAGTAGGATTTCGTCCAGTAGGATTCAGCGCTGTTTCCGAATATATCGTTTATTCTTGCAGCTTCCTAAAATGTTATACTTCTTATTCGCTTTTTTTTTTTGAAAATTCTAATTCTATATATATTTAAGCTTAGAAGGACACTGTATAAAAATTATACACGCGATTAACGCGACAGAACAGATGTCTTCTGTAAGTATATATTATTCCGAACTCCTGGAATACTCAGTTTATCGAGAAAGTTTTGTTAATTACCGAGAAGCCAACTTCGACGCCAAACAGTTGAAAGCATCTCTCGATCACCTACATGAACGTAGTTGATTCGTTGTACTTAAATCCATTTTGACTGCTTCATTTCTTAAGTATGTGGATTTATTAACCAAACCCAACAGGATTTTTACTATGGCGGCTATTTTTCGTCCGAAGACCAATTCCAATACTTTCTCAGCATATTAAATTAGCATGAGATTGCTATAAAACTTGGAAACTACGAGTACAAATGCCGACTGGTTTCCGTTAAAGTCTCCCCGCTTGATAAGCCAGCAAGTGTTGAGGTAAGGTCGCAGGTGGAAAAGCGTGAGGTGGTTGATTTGTTGGCGCTCCAAGTGTGGAAAAGATGAACCGATCGGATGTCCACCAAATATTTGCTGAATTACTGTAGCAATGAAGTAGTGATGACGGTGAGTCAACAGAACGCTTGCAGAAGAGCGTAATAAGACAAGCGAAATGACAGCTGCAAGGATGGGACATACAGAGAAGTCGGAATGTGTGGCCGTTCTCCACTGAGCGAAAAAACTGCAAAGTGGTTTCATCTCTAGATCTATTCGTTTACTACCATTTTTCAATAGACGAGAAACGAATTATTTCCTTATGGAGGGAGAGCTGTTGTGGATGGTTTCCCGCTCTCGCTTTTTTGCAGGTCCATAGGCGACATGTGAGTATGTACTTTTAGGCTGCGATCACAGCTAACGTGCGAGGGAATTCCTGAAAAAGCAACCTCATCAGGAAGTTTCAATTATCTTACACCTGCCTCTATTTTCATAGAGATAGAAATATCACGTATTTCTCAGATCAGACGCACTTGACGTTTTTATTGACTGAGACTAAGTTTGAGCTTGAAGACTTGCTTTCTTAGAAACATTGAATTGGAGTAACCAAGAATGAGATAATTAAAAGTGGTAAGCGCATTAATTCTAATGGGTTGTAATAAGATTAGTAATATTTAATAAGGACAACAAGTACCGGCAACATTGCTAGTAACAATGATATACAGTGAGATAATTAGCCGCCCGGTGGGGCGCAATGGCTAGTGGTGCCCTGCACTGCACACACAGTTTCTAGTTCTATCCCGCGCTAGAGCAACCCATGACTACTATCCTTCCATTGTCGGCAGTTTGGTGCCTGGTTTGCTTGAGAGAAGTAAGCGGTACATTCGTGGATCACGGTAGGTTATTTTATAGGCCAATTATATACCAACACTAGATCTATGATACTTGATGAGATCGAATACATGGCGCACTTCTAAGTGATTGGTAAGCGCCCAATGCTCCGTCATTTCATTCTTTCATATTAACCATAGTAAAAGCAGCAATACTTCGATGCATACATAACCTCCAATTCTACCAGTGATTCGTTCCCCTGCAGCTATTGTCATTCATAGAAGTGGTCATGTTCGGGCATGGATTTAGCTGCAGATTGAGGATTCCTGGACTTCTCTTTTCATTCACATACAGAATGCTGGTCGAGCATGGCGGTCTTTGGGATCCTGAGGCAGGCGTACTAAGGCGTCCCCAAGTCTTCACTGTTTCCATTATTAAGTATTTTTAGTTTTACCTGTATTTTATGCAAAATATTCTTTCAATTTCAAATATGTTCGAAACCAAAATTGTCAAAGAGAAATTTACGAAGATGTCTACTTGGATACTTGGACGGCACGTCCTCACCGGTTGTGCAGGTCCCAGCATAATCTCAATTGTTCGGAGTTTTGCTAGTTTAGCCATGGTATTTCCTCGGAGTTCCGAGGTCAGCCTGGCCAAAGTCTACCCTAGGTGGTCACCACCACACGCAATCGCCCCTCTTATGGATCAGAGGGAGATTTGCCACTATACGACTTTGATACTAACTAGGATGGTGGTGGATGTTCGAAATGCAATTCTCGACGGAAAAGCTGAACAATATGTTGTATTCGTTCCAGTAAATCAGAAAATAAAATCTTGTTAAAATAACAGAACTTGTACTTGAAGCTCTGAAGCAAGTAGCAGAGCTCATAATGAACTGAAATGCATCGGTTTGAACAAGAAAATGACCATCGCTTTTGCACTGAAAGCAGTGTAAACAATGATATGTTAGGACGTTATGTCTTATATACACTCTTCACGAGCCGGGACGAAGGAAATAAGCAAAAATGGTAAAGCTCACGGGGTTGATCTATCCCTGAGGATGCGCCATGTATTCGACTTCATTAAGCATGGTTGGAGGTGATTGAATGCATATCTGGCCATTACAATGACTCCCGGCGGCCTACCCATTTATCGAGCTAGTACTGCTATCCTCCGAGACAAGTCCGGTACCAATTTGCCGAGCCCAGAGAAATGAACGGTTTGGTGAGCATTGTGCGCGCGGATTGATTCCACGTGTGTTGCAGGGCGCCTCCTACCGCTGCGCCACATGTGCCTCAACGCTACACGAACTATTTTAACACAATACTTGTTTCACAATTTTTCTTTCGAACTGAACGATTGGTTGATATTGGTATTTCTCGAGGAGTCTTTAGCAACATCTCTTATTGTTCAGTGGTCTAAGGAACGTTAAGTTCAGTCCTTTATTTTCAGGAACATGCAGAACATGAGTGACAGGTGTTATTCTACCTATAAACAATCGATTAGCCGTTTTTACTTCGCAAATCACTCAGTCAGTACTGCACGCCAGCTGGGTTGCGACATGCGTGTGGAGAGATAGCCGGCTGTCATCAACAAGTCGACAAATAAAAAATATTTTATGACGTTCTCTCTGCTAGACACACACACACACACATGCTAAAAATTTAGACTTTTAAAGATGACTTAATGAAGGAATTTAGGACAAAGTCCACAAAGAGCAAGAGAAGAATTAAAAACCACAATTATCGATAGGAACTGGTTAGTGAAAAGGAGCGGATTCGTAAAGAAGTACAGGCATTACGGGTGCTGACTTTTTTATACCAAATGATCCAACATAATGATGCTGAGATATCTGAAAAACTCCGGACCGCAGCTGCCTACGGTGGGGGACGAACGCGCTATTACTCTTTCCGGCTGCTAGCGCGTTTACCACCACACCATACGGGCCTTCGTTTCGCATGCCTCTCCGCTCTCTCTCTCTCTCTCTCTCTCTGTCTGTGATCCAACATATTTCAGTAAGAAGCATTGCAAGAACTGTCTGTGTTTAAGTCTCTTAGATTCGAAGCTCTTCACTCTTTGTTTTGGCGTAACAAAATCACCTTTGCAACGAATTTTTCACCAACCAATCAGTTGAAATTGCCGTGCGTTTATTAAAAGAAATGGAAGTCAAAGAACTCAATAACGAACAATGTAAAAAAAGATTAATTGTTGCGATATCGTACTAGCACACGAATGAGCGACTTATCAGTTAACTAGTAGCCCTGCGTTCTCTCAACACTGTTATTTACTTCTCTAAAAAGTACCAGCTATGTGTTTTCTATTTCACTGATAAGCTAACACGAGGTCGATAGAAAAAGAGCACTGCCGGGTGAGGTTATTTCATTTGAGCGGTGCTCCCACTGTATTCTACTCGATGAGATAACGAAGAATCGGCGGATGGAGCAACTGCCGGCAATCGACTCGGATCAACTTGCCTATGAGGAAGGCGAATGCGCCGAAACGTGAGCCGATTGAAGCTTTTTTAATCAACCTCGTGTTGGCTTGTCAATGAAAGAATACCTGTTCATTAGCGATGCCGAGGGTAAAGAAGAATCGGTTTTGGGATAGTACCAAGCATATGTGAGATATACCAAGCCACGACTAACAGTGATCGATCTCAGTCTTCAACTTCCCAGCGTTTCCTTCAACCTAACTGAGCATAAAATAGACCAGTTGCACCGCAAGTATGCTTCCTTAATGTTTTCTCTTTGTAGCGGAATCCGTGAGTCATGCCATACTTCAACCAGAAACAGCTGCTTCTCACTAAATTACGTCCAGGTGCTACCCATGAATCGGGAGCTGCGCCAATCAACGTCTTTGGAATCGTTCCAGCAGGCCACGTACTGGTTTCCATAAGCGAGACCGTTCCCGGACACTTGCGCGTGAAGAAGACGTGTGGCGTCTGCGATTCAGTCCGAACACCGCATG